AAAATATTTAAATATCATATATCTGATAAAGGTTTAATATCCAAAATATATAAGGAATTTATGCCACTCAATGGCAAGAAAAGAAAATTCCAAGTAAAAAATGAGCAGACGATCTGAGCAGATTTTTTTTCCAAAAAAGACAAGCAGATAGCCTACAGGTACATGAAAAGGTGCTCAGCATCACTAATCATCAGAGAAATGCAAATCAAAACCAAAATGAGATATCATCTGACACTTGTTAGAATGGACATCACTAGGGGCACCTGGGTGGCTCAGTGGGTTAAGCCTCTGCCTTCAGCTCAGGTCATGATCTCAGGGTCCTGGGATCAAGTCCCGCATCAGGCTCTCTGCTCAGCAGGGAGCCTGCTTCTCCACCCACCCTTCCTCTCTGCCTGCCTCTCTGCCTTCTTGTGATCCCTGTAAAATAAATAAATAAAATCTTAAAAAAAAAAAAAAAAGGAAAGAATGGCTATCACTAAAAAGACAAGAAATAACAAGTGTTGGCAAGGATGTAGAGATAAGGAAACCTTTGTGCACTGATGGTAGGAATGTAAATTGGTATAGCCATTCTGAAAAACAATATGGAGTTTCCTCAAAAATTAGAAATAGAACTACCATATGATCCAGCAATTTCTCTTCTGGGTGTCTATGCAAAGAAATAAAAACTTAATTGAAAAAGATAAATGCCACCCCCATGTTCACTGCAACATTATTTACAATAACCAAGATATGGAAACAACCTAAGTGTCCATCAGTGGATGAACGAGTAAAGAAAATACAGTTGAGTTACACACACACACACACACACACACACAATGGATTATTATTCAGCCATAAAAAAGAAGGAAATCTTGCCATTTGCAACAACATGGATGGACCTTGAGAGCTAAGTGAAAAAAGACAAAAACAAATACCATATGATATCACTTATATGTGGAATCTAAAAAAGAATAAAGAACAACAAAAATGAGTACAAAAATACAGAGGACAGACTGGTGGTTTCCAAAGGCAGAGAGTGGAAGGTGGGTGAAATGAGTGAATGGGGTCAAAGGAAAAAAAGAACCAAGTACAATATGTGAAAAGAAAAATTCACTAGAGGGACTCAACAGTCAACCCAAACTGGTAGAAACAGAATCAGCAACTGGTAGAATTGAAGGTAGACTGATAGAAACTGTGCATTCTAAAGAAGAGGAAAAAAATTTAGGGTAGCTTAAGTGCACCAACATGTCCATAATGAGTACTGGAAGGAGAGAGAGGAGAGAAGCAGAAAAATATTCAAAAAGATAGTGGCAGAAAACTTCCTAAATATGATGAAAACCATTAATGTATATGTCCAAAAACTCAGTGAACTTCAAATAGGATAAATATGAAGACATCCACACCCAGACACATCATAGTAAAAATGCTGAAAGACAATAAGAAAGTCTTGAAAGAACTGATAGAAAAATGACTTGTCACATATGGGAGAACTCCAGTAGGATTAACAGTTCATCAGAAACAATGGAGGCCTGAAGCAGGAGGACAATCAAAGTGCTCAAAGGAAAAAAACTAAAGCCAAGAATCTTATATTCAGCAAAATGATCTTTCAAAAATGTAGATGAAAAAATGATATGCTTTACAAGAAATACTAAAGAAAATTTTCTCAGGCTGTAAGGAGGTAAACACTAGATAATAATTTGAATTCGCACAAAGGAAAAAAGTACATTATTAAGGTAATTATGTAATTATAAATAGTGTAAATCCACATTTTTCATGTCTTAATTGATTTAAAGACTCATTTATAAAATAATATTTATAAAATTGTATTGTTGAGCCTATAACATTAGAACTGTAATATATTTTTACATAACAGCACTAAGGAGGTAATGGGAGCAAAGCTGTATTTGAGTAAGCTGATGAAACCACCTGGATTGACCACAACAAATGAAGAGAGCTAGAAATGGTAAATTAGAAAGTTAATACACAAACTTTATAAATGTTTTGCTTTCTTCCTTCTCTCAGGTTTTATAAAAAACAAAGTTATATGAAGTAATTATAATTTGTTGTTTTTATAACACATAGGGATATAATATGTATGCCACTATAATACACATATATGTGTATTATACATAATAGACATAAAAGGGAAAGAGAAAATAGAGCCAAAAAAGAGTAACATTTTTATATCCCCCTGGAATTAAGTTAATATACATCTGAAGTAGATTTTGGTCAATTAAGATGTATATGTTGTCTTAGAACCATTACAAAGAACTTCAAAAATATGGCAGAATTATTAAATGAATAAATTGCACCAGAAGATACTTACTTAATGCCAAAGATAGCAATAAAGGAAGATTAGAGGAACAAAAAAGACATGAGACATACAGAAAGCCTAAAGTAAAATGACAGATGTAATCCAACTATATCAATTACAACATTAAATATGGATTTAACAATCCAATCAGAAGATAAAGATTGTTGGACTAGATTTTTTTTTAATGAAGATTTAACTCTATGCTGTCTGAGCATAAAGCATAAAGATACAAATAGGTTGAAAGTAAAAGGATAGAAAAAGGTCATGCAAACAGCAAACATAAAAAAGCTGTAGTTAATATCAGGCAAAACAGATTTTAAAGCAAAAAAAGATGTTACTAGAAATAGAGACATCTAAAATGGAAAAATGGTCAATCCATCAAGACTTAACAATTATCAACATCAATGCATCTAACAACAGAACTAAGATGTACATGAAGCAATACTTGACAGGATTAAAGGGAGAAAGACAATTAGAAATTTTAATACTCCACTTTGAATAATGATACAAGAACTAGGTAGAAGACAAAAAAGAAAATAGAAGGCTTGAAAAATCCCATGATCAAAATCTCTATACTGAAATCTGCAAACTGGTACAGAAAGAAAAATTTAAGACCATTCAAATGAAGAGAGAACACCATGTTTATGGGTTGGGAGACTGACTATTTTTTAAAAGTTTACTCTGCTAAAATTATCTATGGATTTATTACAGTCCAACAAAATGTTGGCATATCTTTTTGTAGAAATTAACAAACTGATTCTAAACTTTATTTAGAAATGCAAAGAATCGGCAGCACCTGGGTGGCTCAGTCGGTTAAGTGGCTGCCTTCTGCTCAGGTCATGATCCCAGGGTCCTGGGATCAAGCCCTGCATGGGACTCCTTGCTCAGCAGAGCCTGCTTCTCTCTTGCCTACTTGTGCTCTCTCTCTATCTCTCTGTCAAATAAATAAAATTTTTTTAAAAAATGCAAAGAATCTAAAATAATTAAAAAGCTCTTGGAAAAGAACAAAGTTGGAGGATTTTACTACCTGACTTCAAGATGTACTATAAATGTACATTAATTAGTGTGGTAGTAAAAAAAAAAAAAATAGACAAATAGACCAATGACTAAACAGTGAAAGTCCAGAAAGAAACCTATACTTATGTAGCCAATTTATTTTTTATTAAGACACTAATAAAAATCAATGAAGGAAGGAAAATCTTTTTAACAAATAATGATGCAAAAAACTGGACAAACATATGGGGGAAATGGACCTTAATCTCTTTACACCACAATCAAAATTAATTTGAGATGAAAATAGTCCTAAAAATGAAAGCTGAATATTAAAAAGCTTCTTGCAGAAAACAACAATATCTTCATGACCATGGAGTAGGCAAAGATTACTCATATAGGAATTTTGAAAAAAATGATAAATTTTCCTTTAAGGAAACTAATCTTCTCATCATCAAAAGATTTCATTTTCATTAAGAAAATGACAAGATAAGTCTCATATGGGAAGAAAATATTCACAATACCTACTTCTAACAAAAGACTCTTAAATATATAAAGAATTCTATTCAGGCTTTGGCATTAACTTAGTTCTGTAACCTTAAATATTTAAAATCTTCAAACTGACAGTTTCTTACCTGTAAAACATAAGAGTTGGGCTAGAGTACCACAGCAGACTTTTTCTAAAATTCTATGATTTTTTTTGAACCCACAGGAAGTTAATTCATACATATTACATAAAGGGTGGTGGCAAGGAATATGAACAAAGATAGTTTTGGTAATTGACAATAGCCCTTAAGTACTTCTGGGTATGGGGATTTATATTAAAGTAGAAACTCTGAATATTTATTTACAAAGAAAAAGTATATAAGAATCTCCTACAAGGATAGGAAAACCATAATTAAGGATATTTTATGAATGTCATAGTAATGAGAATATAAAATGTTTATTAACCTATTGTGCCTATCCTTGTATTTGTCAGTAGATACTTGGGTATGTCAGTACAGTGACATAATAGAACATTTTAAAAAGAGAAAAATATAGTGCTTATTTTAAGAAGGAATTTGATACCATCAAACAAATCACTTAATATGTACTACACAATACTACCTTTTTTAAAAAAAATTAACATATAATGTATTATTAGCCCCAGGGGTACAGGTCTGTGAATTGTCAGGCTTACACACTTCACAGCACTCACCATAGCACATACCATCCCCAATGTCCATAACCCCACCACCCTCTCCCTACCCCTCTGCCCACTGCAACCCACAATACTACCTTTTTATAACTAAATATAATATTTAAAGTTTGTAGCATACCTTTCATGTTCTTTATAAAAGCCAGTAAGTGTTTCTCTTGAAAGCAGAAAATTTGATTAGGCCTTTTTAAAACCCATTATAAATTGTATAATTTTTGGTCTATTTTCAGGTGAAACTTAGGTTATTTATTAAAGTAATGATTTCATATAAGAAAATAAAAAAGATTTTACAGTTCTCTACCATTATGTTCAATTATTTTTTTGCATCTCTATTAGTTATTGCTCCTTATTGTTTCTGATATCACTTGTTGAAACAAATTATCAGAACCCTTGTCATAACATGAGACTACAAAAGTAGTTTTCACAGGGGGAAGAAAAACCTTTCTAAATTTTCAGGAATAGGAATTATCTACAAAGTGTTAGCAAAATTCATCTCATTTATTATCATTTCATTTTCAGGTTTAACTGAGCTAAATGACAGTCCAGTTTCCCTGGAACTTGAGCGCTGCAAGTCTCCCACTTCAGGTAAACATGAATGGTAACTTTCAGTCTTCTGGTAATTCACTGCAGTAATCTACTGCTTTATTTTCATAATTCTTACTATGTGAAATTCATAATTTTAGTCATTGTAATGTAGTTTCTGAAATTTAATCATAAACAAATTTGATTCCAAAATCAATTAGAAATAAATGTCTTTAAAAATATTTTTGGCCTTCCAAATAATTAAGACCAGAGGTATGAATGTAGTACTTCTAAAGACATTTTAAAGGAAGGTTTTTTTACAGATAAATAATGTGAAGTAAAAATTGGTAATGATACACAGAAACTCTTTCCTCTTATAGCTAGAGTTGAATTAAGTGGGAAATAAATACTGTAGGTGCAGAGAATATGATACCATTGGACGTTGGTTCATACCTCTGGATCACAGTTTGAAAACATGTATATTCATTGAAAAAAAAAAAAAGAAAAAATGATAACATGCTGGAACTAAAGCATCAAGATAAAACATGAGCCCACTAAAATATATAAAAAATGTGAGTATAAATATTCCTAGGAATAAGTCTTTAAAGTATGAAAAAAATGTTAGTAGTAGAAATTGTAGGGGGGTAGGATTATGAACAATTAGCTTATTTTTTTAAATTTATTTATCTGATTTTTCTCTAATGCATATATAGTAACATGTAAATTTTTAAGCACCAAAAATATTAGTTATATCTGTGATAATGAGCTACAGATATGTTTTCATAGAGTATTGAAAATTGTTTTTTTATTTTAACTTCACACAAATATATAAAACTTTAATACTTTAAAAAGGAATTAATTTTAACTTTTATAAATTCATTTAGAACTGTGACATTTCTTCAGTTTTCTGTCTTAGGAGTTGTTGGTTGTTTATCCTTATTCTTCAGGAATGTAGGCTAAGTAGAATCTAGTTGTGTCCATGAAAATTTTTGTTTTAATCATATCTATTTAATCTTTATTTTACTGCTTTTATTTTAAACATAATCTCATACATTACCCTTTCTTTTGTATTTCTATTTGCACCATCCTAACATAGGCATTTATTATTCCACATTTAGAGTATTACAAAAATGTTCAACAGATGTCTCTGCTATCCATCTCTCACTCTTATAATTCATTTTGCATATCATGTAACAAAATTAATCTCCTTAAAATATTACCTGACATTTTCTCATGCTCAATCTAAGATTTGATTCAATTTTCTACATCATTTAAATAACTTCACTTTAAATTATCATCCATAATTCGAATTTTAATAGTAATATAGGGTTCAAATGTCAAAAAGAAATGGAATTTAAATTCTCCCTCCCATTCATCCTCATACATTGTCTCTATCCTTTTGAAAAATAAAGTTATTTTCTTATTTATTCTTTTAGTTTGTGTTTGCAAACAAATCAAAAAGACAAACATTCTTTTTTACTTCCTGTTTTACACACAAGTAATATATGCATTTCACTATACTTTGCTTATTTCAGTTTACTATGTATCTTGTCTTTCCATTTGATTACATAAAGTAATCATTATACTTGTATTATATTTAATTGCAGGCATGTACTATAATTTATATAGTCATTTCACCAATTAAAGGACACTTATTTCACTATCAAATTTATGTCATGCCAAACAATGCTGCTATGACTAATCTTGGTACATTCTTCATTTTAAATGTGTACAGGTATAAGATAAATTCCTAAATTTGGAGCTGCTGAGTCAAAGGGTATATGTCTGTCTAACCTTTATAAATTCTTCCAATTTTCTCTCCCTCTATTAATAACATCAATAAACCAATGTTTATTGGTTATCATTTTTTTAAATTTTGTAAGTCTGTTAGGGAAAAAAGGATTTGTCAATGTAGTTTCAATTTATCTCTCACATCGAGTGATATTGAATACCTTTTCAATTGTTTAAGAACTCATTAAATATTTTTTTTCTGTAAATCATCTATTCATACAATTTACCCATGATCTATAGGGTTGTTTTCCCCTTTCGTATCAATTTGTAATTTTACAAATTAAAATTAACCTTTTATGACATGAGATCCAAATATTTTTCTTAACTTTGCTTGTGTTATCTCTTATAAGTTTTCTGCATTCAGACATTTCTTTTAAGGATTTTCTTTATGCCCAACAATTTAAATACTATTGGAGTTAACTATATCTTATTTTTTTTTTTCTTTTTTACAAACCCTTGTGTCGAGGGCTGACTTTCAATAGATCGCAGCGAGGGAGCTGCTCTGCTACGTACGAAACCCCGACCCAGAAGCAGGTCGTCTACGAATGGTTTAGCACCAGGGAGTTAACTATATCTTAAAATTTTGGTAGAATTTTCCCATCAAGTCATTTAACCTTTATAATTAGTTATTTTGTATGTTCATATTATCTGTAAAGAAAACTTTTCATTAAAAAAGTTCCATTATGGAAATTTTCTAACAATGTTCAATGTAACATATGTAAAGATTGTGGTTCTATCTTTCTTTTAGGCTAGTTAATAGTCAATCTATTTTTCTGGGTTGGTTTTTTTTTTTTTTAAACCTAAACACAAGGTTTTTTGGTTGTGTTTTGTTTGTTTTTTTCTTATTATTTCTTTTCAGTGTTCCAGAATTCATTGTTTATGCACCACACCCAGTGCTCCACACAATACGTGCCCTTCATAGTACCCACCACCAGGCTCATCCAAGCTCCCCCCGCCCCAAACCCTGTTTGTTTCTCAGAGTCCACAGTCTCTCATGGTTTGTAAATGCAAGTTTTACTGGGTTTGGGGGTTTTAACTTAACTTCTGCTTTTAATTAGTTCCATCCTCTGCTTCCCTTTATTTTTCACTTAATAGATGCTTAATTCCTTTATTTCTCTTGCTTTTTTTACTTGGAATTTTTTTGTGTATCTTGGTCTTACCTCATTGGGAGTAAACTTTTTAAACTGAGGTACAATATGGAATGTCTCTAGAACCTCAGAAATCTCCCTCATGCCTCTCAGCCACTTATTCCTACAAAGGTACCTACTATTTTGACTTTTAACTATAGATCTGTTTTTGTGGGGTTTAGATTCTCATATCAATGAAAACATGCATTATTTACTTCTTTTGTTTCTTGCTAATTTTGCTCAGCCTTATCTATATGATATTCAGTTACATTGGTGAATGATTTGTATTGCTGTGTGATATTCCTTTGTATGTATATCTGTGCATTTTATTGTTGCTGCACATTTAGGTGGTTTATAGTTTGAGGCATTTTAAGAAAAGCTGTTATGACCAATCTTGTAAAATGTTTAATGAAATATAAACTCATTTTTGTTTCACATGTATCTGGGAGTGAATTTAGGGGGTCCAAAGGTATGCCTATATTTAACTTCAGTAAATACAACCGAGTTTTTCAAATTGGTTGCACCAATTTTACTTCCATTAGCAGTGCATGAAAACTTTACTTGTTCCACATACATCTTTTCTCTCAGTAAAATTTTTAGTTTTCTTTTTAGAGGTCTTATATACATTTCATTGGTGTTATTCCTTGGCATTTTGTGTTTTTAGATGCTGTCAATTAATTTTTTTCTTATTGTTTGTGGCTGGAATATAATACAATTAATTTTTGTATATTGACCTCATATCCAGAAAACTTCATAAATTCCAATAATCTGTAAATTCTTTTGGACTCTCTATCCAATTATACCCAGTATTAAAATGACAGTTCTGTTTCTTATTTCTAAAGGAAGAGTTTAACTAGGACCTCCAATACAATGTTGAATATATGTGGTGTTAGCAAACATCTCTTCTTTCTTCCCAATCTCAGGGATAAGGCAGTATCATAACTAATTATGATAATTATTGTAGGTTTTTATTAGACATCTTGCTTTTGGCCTTCTGCTTCTGATGTTTCTTTTTTTCATTAATGTTAGAGCAAATCTGGAAATATCACCACCACACTTCTTTTGCAAGACAGAGTCAGGACTTCACATGCAATAAAGTAGATTGTTTCAAAGTAGGAAGGTTTCAACTACTTTGTTAAGTTACTTGGGCCAGAAATAATTGGCTGTGATAAGATTCACTTATCACTTCAGTGCCCTATTTGAAACTGGTTTGCTGGGCAGGGCCCACTCTTCTTTAGTAGTAACCTTAGAATACAAATATTCATAAATGAGGAATGAGAGATTTCCTACTATGGATTTTAAGTCATAGATTTGTTAAAAATTAAAAGAAATTTATCCTCATGGGAACAGTGCCATAAAAGTTTATTTTACCTTAAGAAAATTGGAAATGTTATTTGATATTCCATTCATTTGCCATGAAAAAGAAAAATAATTGTATTGTATTAAGGGGTCTTTCTAAGCCCACGATGGAGAATGCACCCAAGGCTATACCTAGAATAGCACAACAACACATATACATAAAACTACATTCTGCAATCTCTTCCTATTGTAGGAATTACTGTATCTAGATTATCAGGAAAGGTATAGTTATGGTAAATGCAGATTTTTTAGCCCAACTTCATAAAACTAAAATGTAACTTAAAAAGAAGATTTTAACAGTTTACAAAACTCATGAAGACTATGACTCTAAAAGTCGAAAAGAATGAAGATATAAACAGTTAAAATGTTTAACTTATGAATGACAAAATCAATAATATATAATTAAGGGAAACTAGAATATATGTAATATACCTAACTTTTGGAAAAACTAAGAAAAGCAACCATGCCTCCTGATGTCTCCTTGATTTATACACTAAGAAACAGATCACTAGGTCTGATTAATAATGGCAATTATTATGTTTGTACCTGGGTGTATCTCCCCTTCTTCATGTATATATAGCATTTAAGAGCCAATACTATTCTTGCCTTCTCTTTATTTTTTTCTTAATGCAGTTTTTCTCAAATGTAAGCCTATATGAGAATCGAGTGAAGAGTTTGTTAAAACACAGAATGCTGACTGTCAGAGATTCTACTTCACCAAGTCTAGAGTAGGGCTTGAAATTTTGCATCTCTAGCAAGTTCCTACGTGATGCTTATGCTTCTGGT